TTTCTTGTTGCCGACGGTCCAATACAGTCCACGAGGCCCCAGAAATCAGCTCAAGACGGCCCAAGAGGCACCCAAAGAGGGCGCCACGACGGCGCAAGAGAGTCCCAAAACGGCTTCATATTGCCACAAGACGGCCCAAGAGGCGCCCAAGATCGCCCAAGAGGGCCCCACAACGGCACCAAGAGGGGCCCAAGAGGGGGAACGCGAACCGACAATTCGAGCCTTCCGCCCAAAGAGCCCCCCAGGAGGCCCCAAGAGGCCACCAACAGAGCCCAAGAGGCCCCCTAGAGGCCCCACGAGGCCCCAGAGAGGCTCAAAAAGATGCCCCAAGAGCACCCCAAACGGCCCCCAAGAGGCCTCCAAGACTCCCACGAATTCCAAACGAACTTCCAAGAGGCCTCTAAACCACAACCCAGTTCTCTTGGCGGCTCTTGGCCCTCCCGGGTAATTGCGTGCGGCAGGCTTTCAAATTGCTTCCAGGCGGCCCGAGGTCGCCGAACTAACGGTTCAAGACGCCCAAGATGGCTCCAAGGCGGCCCAGGAGGCCCCCAAGACGTTCCAAGAGGCCCCCAAGAGGATTCAAGAGGGCCTCAACAGGCAAAAAAAACGCCCCTATGCCTCCGGATTATCCCGGCAAAGCAACCTAACAGCGATGTGTAGGAGCATATCTGGAAGCATTCCCCTTAAGATTCAGATGAGAATCCAGTTGTAGAATTCTGCTGTTCTCGCAGTCGTAGTCGCATTCGCGATGACAGTCGCAGTGGCAACGGCAGTCGCAGTCACAGCCTCAGCCTCAGCCTGCCTCAGCCTCAGCCTCAGCCTGCCTCAGCCTCAGCCTGCCTCAGCCTCAGCCTCAGCCTGCTTCAGCCTCAGCCTCAGTCTGCCTTCAGCCTCGGCCTCAGCCTCAGCCTGCCTCAGCCTCAGCCTGCATCAGCCTCAGCCTCAGCCTCAGCCTGCCTCAGCATCAGCCTGCCAGCCTCAGCCTCAGCCTGCCTCAGCCTCAGCCTCAGCCTGCTTCAGCCTCAGCCTCAGTCTGCCTTCAGCCTCGGCCTCAGCCTCAGCCTGCCTCAGCCTCAGCCTGCCTCAGCCTCAGCCTGCCTCAGCATTCAAAATGTGGCCCGGGAATGGAGTTCTGGGAACTCGAAAAACACGAAGTGGCCTACAGTTGGCTCCGGGCATTCAAAATCATGCCCAGGAATAGAGTTCTGGGAACTCGAAGACCACGAAGTGGCCTACAGTTGGCTCCGGGCATTCAAAATGTGGCCCGGGAATGGAGTTCTGGGAACTCGAAGACCACGGACCACGAAGTGGCCTACAGTTGGCTCCGGGCATTCAAAATGTGGCCCGGGAATGGAGTTTTGGGAACTCGAAGAGCACGAAGTGGCCTACAGTTGGCTCCGGGCATTCAGAATGTGGCTCGGGAATGGAGTTCTGGGACCTCGAAGACCACGAAGTGTGTGACTTTTTGCTTAAAACGAGCCCGGTTCTCGCCTGTCCGGCTCCCGCCCAGACCCCCCTGGGGAGTCATCAGATGCTCTCTTTTGACCCCATTAGAAACCTATCAGTCTTCGCTGTTAGGTAAATATTCGTCTATGGAGCTGTCAGAGCATCCAAGACGGCCCGCGAGGCCTCCACGATCGCCTCAAGACGGCCCAAAGGGTTCCCTATAGGGCTCCAAGACGGCCCAAGAGGCCCCCAAAACAGCACATGAAGGCCCCAGAATGGCCCCACAAGGGGGCCCAGAGGGGGCACCCGAACTAATATGTCAAGCATTCGGCCCCAAGACGCTCCCCAGAGGCCCGAGGAAGCCCCAAAAAGCCCCCAAGAGGCCTCAAGAGGCCCGCAATAGGCCCCCAGGAAGCCTTAAGAGGCCAAGAGCCCCCTCCCCAGACGCTCTGAGACACGCATGGCGATCCCGAAGCTTCCAGAGAGGAGAGGCGATGAACGGCCGTCCTGACGCGATCCTGGACCATCTTCGAGCTCAAGGTGCCCCCCATCATGGCCCAGCGCAGGTCACAGAAACGCCCGAAGAGAGCCTCCCTGGGGGGCCCAAAGAGACCCTCCAGAAGCAATTGTACGTATATATGAAGGCCTTATGGCCGGTGCCGCCGACCCTGAAGGGAGACGACGACGACGACGACGACGACGACGACGACGACGACGACGACGACGACAACGGCGGTGGTGGCAACGACGACGACGCTAACATGGGCCAGAGTCCTCAGGGAGAGCCCACATACATGTGAGTTCAATTCTCTACCTCACGGCGTTTACTTCGGAACCTGCCCAGGCTGCTGTTCCAAATTTGGGTGTTGGGCCCTGTCCAGACAAGAGAGTGAAAGGTCGCGATGCGACCTTCGCCTGAGGAGAAGGCCGTGATACCACTGGGCACGGTGTGCCCTTCGACCCTGATGCAGGCGGAGCCAGGGAGTCGGAAGGGCGCGATGCGCCCCTCGATCCCCAGGGAAGTGGCGACCCAAAGAGGGGCGTGAGCGAGCGGCAGGCCATGGCTCATTGTGTCGCCGAGAGCTCTAATCATTAGCAGGGGGTCGAAAGGCCACGATGTGTCCTTCGCATCTGCATGTCGCCGACACTTGTCCCGAGCCAACGGTCGGAAGGAAGGACGCGACAATTCTGCGGAGGTGCTAATATCAATTTTTATTAGAGTTATGCGTTGGATAAGTTGCATAAGTCCCCCCCTTCCGTAACCACAAGAGTTTACATATCTTACAGATTGTCAACGCTGATGTTGCTGATATATGATACCGTGGTCCCTCGCGGTGTATTTGAGCTGTTGGTCGTATACGGCTACATGTGCACATCATCCAGTACAACCGTTGTTGTGGCACAAACATTGGAGTTCAACGCCACTCAACTCGAATTGATTTCGCTTACCTTACTCAACTCCCCCTGGATGTAACACGAGTGTGTGTTTGTTTTGTTTGTTTTGTTATGTTTTGTTGTTTGGGCGTGTTCTGTTTTTTTGGGGAGGGGGGGCAGGCATAGTATAGTTTGTAAGTGTGGGCCCCCGGAACCCCGCCAAAAACCTTGCAAGCCTTCCCCGCCCGGGATTCGGAGGGGAAACCTAATGAATCAACCTGACGAAGGACCCAACCATATGCAGCTGAGAGTGCCGCGAGGGAGATGAGACGAAGGAGGGGGGCGCGCAAACTCCGAGTAGCGCACGCGGTATATCCTTCTGCCACGAAACGTGTGAAGGGTGTGCCGACATGAGTCGTGGGGACGCTGGCGAACGTCGCCATTGGGGCCTTCCGTGGAGCTCCCTACGGGGCCACGAAATGTGTGAGGGGTGTGCCGAAATGGGGCGGTGGTGCCATGCAAAGTTTCCCATTGGGGCCTTAGGTGGAGCTCCCTATGGGGCCACGACGCGTGTGAGGGGTGTGCCGAAATCGGGCGGCGGTGCCATGCGAACTTGCCCACAGGGGCCTTCGGTGGAGCTCCCTATGGGGCCACGCAACTTGTGAGGGGTGTGCCAGAATGGGGCGGCGGTGCCATCCGAACTTTCCCACTGGGGCCTTCGGTGGAGCTCCCTGTGGGGCCACGAAACGTGTGAGGGGTGTGCCGAAATCGGACGGCGGTGCCATGCGAATTGGGCCTTCGGTGGATGGGGCCACGAAACGTGTGAGGTGTGTGTGTGTGTGTGTGTGTGTGTGTGCGTGCCGAAATGAGTCGGAAGTGCCATGCGAACTTCCCCACTGGGGCCTTCGGTGGAGCTCCCTATGGGGCCACGAAGCGTGTGAGGGGTGTGCCGAAACGGGGCGGCGGTGCCATCCGAACTTTCCCACGAGGGCCTTCGGCGGAGCTCCCTATGGGGACACGAAGCGTGTGAGGTGTGTGCCGAAATGGGGCGGCGGTGCCATGCGAACTTTCCCACTGGGGCCTTCGGCGGAGCTTCCTATGGGGCCACAAGGCCACGACACGTGTGAGGGGTGTGCAGAAATCGGGCGGCGGTGCCATGCGAACTTTCCCACTGGGGGCCTTCGGCGGAGCTCCCTATGGGGCCACGAAACGTGTGAGGCGTGTGTGTGTGTGTGTGTGTGTGCCGAAATGGGCCGGCGGTGCCATGCAAACTTTGCCACTGGGGCCTTAGGCGGAGCTCCCTATGGGGCCAGGAAGCGTGTGAGGGGTGTGCCCAAATGGGACGGCGGTGCCATGCTAGTTTTCTCATCGGGGCCTTAGGTGGAGTTCCCTATGGGGCCACGAAACGTGTGAGGGGTGTGCCAAAATGGGGCGGCGGTGCCATGCGAAGGGCCTTAGGTGGAGCTCCCCATGGGGCCACGAAACGTGTGAGGGGTGTGCCGACATGGGATGGGCATGCGGAGAGCAGAGGCAGGGAGGAGAGGAGGGATGGGAGGAGGAGGGGGAGGACGAGGGGGAGGAGGAAGGAAGGAGGAGGAAGGAGGAGGAACGCGAGGCGCTGTCTCTTCAAAACGAGGACTCAACACCACAGGATTGTTGGGAAAAACCACCCATTGGGTTTCGTTTTGTTTCCTCGGATTCCCAGGGGGTTCAGGGAACTCCCACACCAGTCTCGCAGCGAGTGGGAGAGGTCCCAGCCCTTCTTGGGCCCCCCTCCTGCCTCATGCAGCCACTTTTCGGACAGGTGACGGCGCAAGCCGACTTTTGGGGCTCCCGAGTCCCCAACGGAAGGTTGCAGAAAAGGTGACGTCGAACCATCTTGTGTTGTTCGGCGGCAAGCGAGAGGGGGAAGCGAGAAGGAGAAGGCCTTCTCAGAAGGCGGCGGGACTTCTCAGAAGCCCTCGCGCCTTCTGAGAAGTGTCCTGTGTCTTCGGGGAAGGCTCAGAACACTTCTCAGCAGGCCGGGGATCTGCCGAGCCTTCTGAGAAGGCCCGCCCCTTCTCGGGCCCCAGATGTTTGTTCTGTCATGACCCGGCTCTCCCGTGGCCGTTCGGGACGATCCAGGCGCACCCCGGAGCTCTCTCGGCGAGGCGCAGCTGCTGGAGCGGATCCCGCGGCAGGAAAACCGCCGCCGAGTACAGGGACAAGCCCAAACAGATTGTCGGAGGCACTGCCTCCCCGTCCTGCGACTCGGCGGCCGCGCGTCGACGCCGGCGGCGGCGCTGCCGCCCGCGGCAGGCGCACGGCCACGGCCGCCCCGCGGGAGCCGGGCCCCGCCGGAGTGCAAGGACCCCGTGTTCCAGTGGCTGGAGCAGCGCCTGCCGGCCGCCGGGGGGGGGGGGGGCAGTGCGGGTCGGCTGCACGTCTTCGTCGTCGTCGTCGTCGTTGTTGTCGTCGGGGCAGAGCGTGCTCGTCCGCCGCGGGTCGGTTGCACGACGTCGTCGTTGTCGTCGCCGTCGTTGTCGTTGTTATCGTCGTCGGGGCAGCGCGTGCTGCTCGTGCTGCGGGTCGGCTGCACGTCCCCAGAGGTCCGACGCTCCAACAAAAATTGGAGCTGCTGGTTTTTGGCCGTTTTCGGCCCTTCGGGGCCCTCGCTGGGCCTCGGGACCGTCAGAAACCGATTCAAGTCGAAAAACCGGCCCTTTACAAGGGGTCGAGACCTTTGGGGCACACGCATCCCAAAAATTGGAGCGGCTGAATGTCTGGGTCGTCGTCGTCGTCGTCGTCGCCGTCGCCGTTGTCGTCGTCGTCATTGTTAATGTCGTCCTGTCGTCGTCGGGGCAGCCCGTGTTCGTCCGCCGCGGGTCGGCTGCACGTCGTCGTCGTCGTTGTCGTCGTCGTCGGGGCAACGCGTGCTCGTCCGCCGCGGGCTTGAGGGAAAGAGGTCCTGAAGATTTTCGCCGTGTTCGGCCTCTCGGAGCCCTCCACGGGCCCCGGGGCTGTCAGGAAACGGCTCCGGATGAAGACCTCGTCCTGCGGGGAGGCCCCGTGGTCCAGGACCCGTTTCCCTCAGGACCCGTTTACCCTGTACGAAGTCGGCTGCACGTCGTCGTCGTCGTTGTTGTCGTCGGGGCAGCGCGTGCTCGTCCGCCGTGGGTCGGCTGCACGTCGTCGTCGTCGTTGTTGCTGTTGTTGATGTTGTTGGTGTTGGTTGTTCTTTGCGGTGTTGTTGTTGTTGCTGATGTTGTTGTTGTTGTTGGTTGTGTAGGTGTTGTTGTTGTTGCTGTTGTTGTTGTTGTTGTTGTTGTTGTTGTTGTTGTGGTTGTTGTTGTTGCTGTTGCTGTTACTGTTGCTGTTGTTGTTGTTGTTGTTGATATTGTTGGTGTTGTTGTTATTGTTGTTGCTGCTGGTGGTGGTATTGTTGTTGTTTGTTGGTGTTGTTGTTGTTGCTGTTGTTGTTGTTGTTGTTGCTGTTGTTGTTATTGTTGCTGTTGTTGTTGTTGTTGTTGTTGTTGTTGTTGTTGTTGTTGTTGTTGTTTCTGGTGCTGCTGTTGATGTCGTTGTCGTCGTCGTGGCAGCGCGTGTTCGGCTGCCGCGGGTCTCCAGACAGGCTCGCGTCCCGACAAAATCAGGCCGGGAGGTTTTTTGTTGTTTTCGGCGTCTGGGTGCCCTTACGGGGCCTCGGGACCGTGAAACACGATTCAGGATGAGAAAAGCCGGTCCCAGAAGAAGGGGGCAGCGCGTTTTCGTCCGCCCTGGGTCGGTTGTACGCCCGACGGGGCTAACTAGGGCGAGGAAAATTAGTTCCAGAGCGGTCCAGTACGCTCTCAGAGCGTTCCGGAACGCTATGAGAAGGCCGCGACGCCCGATACATCGTTCAGAGCCGCAGAATGTCAGAGACTCGATTTATCCTCACGCGAATTCGTCATCGTCCTAGCTTCGTCTTAGCACGTGAGAAAGTTACCCTTCGCTGGAATGGCCCTTCGCTAGAGTGAAGGGGCTCAAGATACGGGGGTCAGTGCAAACGGGGGTCAGTCAGAGCGCCAGATCTTCCAGGATCCTGTAAAGCCAGGGATGCACTGACCTGGGCTTGCGTGCAGGACCCTGCAGGGCCTTGCCGGATCCGACAGGGTTCCCCGAGACGCGCAATGGGGGGGGCGATGAATAGGGGAGGGCAGCGAGGGCTGCACAAAAGGGGCCCTTTAGGCCCCTGGAGGATGAAGGGGCCCTTCAGGGCCCGAAAGGGTGGCCCTTCGGGCCCGCAGAGTGCACCTTTCTCCCCCCCCGGTTCATCGCTCCCGCAGCAAGCTCGGGAGCCTCGAGACGGGGGTCAGTGCAAACGGGGGTCAGCCAGGGCGCCGGATCCTGCAGGATCCTGCGAAGGCCCCCTCTGGCTGACCCGGGTTAGGGAGCCGCTCGTGGCCGCGAGGCGGCCGCGCGTATTGGCTGACCCGGGTTTGCGAGGACCTGCGTTGCAGTTTTTTTTTTTCCTGCATTGCAGTTTTTGGTTTCCTGCTGACCCGGGTCAGGATTGACCCGGGTCAGAGGATCCCCGACAAGCGCCGCCCACAGTGGCTGGAGCAGCGCCCGCGGGCCGCGCGGGGGGGGGAGAGGGCAGCACGCGCTCGTCCGCCGCGCCACGGCCGCGCGTGAGAGAGCGCCCCTCCGCTAGGATGACCTCTGCTGCGGGGCCCACAGGGGTCCCACCAGCACTGGCTTGTGCGCTTGGGTCCGACCGCCCCGAGGCCCCCGAAAGTTTCGCTTTTTGGGAGGCAACACGTACCGCAGTCCAAACGTCCGTGTCAATACGCTACGTCTTGGCTCAAGCTATTGGCCCACGTTTTGGCGAACGCATCGCGTCAGGCCTACGAATTCAGTCTACAGTCTACGTATGGAGCTCCGTATCGATACGCTACGTGGTGCGTGTTGCATACCGGGGCAGCGAAGCCTCATACACAAAGTTACGCCTGTCCAGGATCGCTTTTGCGTGTAGGCAATTGGAGGTCGTTTTCGTCGTTGTCGTCGTCGTTGTCGTCGTCGTTGTCGGGGTCGTCAGGGTCGTCGTGAGAGTGGCGGGGAGGAGGACAAGGAGGAGTCAGAGGAGTAGGAGGAGGAGGAGGAGGTAGGGAATGTGGGGGATGGCTGGTGATGATGATGATGGTGATGATTACAATAATAATTGAGAGTGATGATAGTGCTAGTCGTGATGATGGTGGTGCTGGTGATGGAAGAGGTGATGATGGTGGTGGTGATTATGATGGACGGTGATGGTGATGGTGACGAAAATGTCCATGAGGGTAATCAGTGGTTACGCTGCTACTGTGGATGACGATGATGAAGAGAAGAGGAGGAGGAGGAGGAGGAGGAGGAGGAGGAGGAGGAGGAGGAAGAGTGGCATGGACGGGGCTAAGGAAGGGGATTATGATTATGATGGTGATGCTGAGGATGATGCTGATGATGAGATGATGATGGTGGCGTTGATGATGGTGATAAGAGTGATGGTGATGATGGTGATGGTGATGGTAATGATGATGTTGATGATGGTGACGATGATCATTACGACGGTGATGAGGATGATGGTAATGCTGATTATGATGACGTTGATAATGCTGCTGGTGATTATGCTGACGATGATGACGATGATGACGATGATGGTGATGCTGCTGCTGAGGATGATGATGATCATGCTGATCATGACGATTATGACATTGAACATGATGACAAACGACGACGATGATGCTGATGATGGCGATGATGATGATGCTGATGATGCTGACGATGATGATGATGATGATGATGATGATGATGATGATGGTGGTGATGATGATAATGGTGACGATGGGTGATGATGCTGATGATGATGTTGATGATGATGATGATGATGATGATGATGATGATGATGGTGACGATGGGTGATGATGATGATGATGATGATGATGATGATGATGATGATGATGATGATGATGATGATGATGATGATGATGATGATGATGATGATGATGATGATGATGATGATGATGATGATGATGATGATGATGATGATGATGATGATGATGATGATGATGATGATGATGATGATGATGATGATGATGATGATGATGATGATGATGGTGGTGATGATGGTGATCATGAGGAGGAGGAGGAGGAGGAGAGGAGGAGGAGGAGGAGGAGGAGGAGGAGGAGGAGGAGGATGAGGAGGAGGAGGAGGGGAGAGGAGGAGGAGAGGAGGAGGAGGAGGAGGAGGAGGAGGAGGAGGAGGAGGAGGAGGAGGAGGAGGGGCGCCAGGCTCGATGCAGACCTGCGCAGTTTGTTCGGCTTCCAGTTTCGAATGACTTCGCCACTGAAGGCTTCAACCGAATCAGGCCATTTCCGTCCATCTTCTCGGGCGAACGTGGACTGGTGTCTCAGCAAAAACTGATGATGATTCACGACGCAAACGCTCAGCCATGTCTGAACATATTTCTAAGAGCTAAGCTGTAACACAAATCAGTGTTTTTCAAACCCAATTTGTGTCCAGATAGTTCAAGGTTCCAGGTGTTAGTGGTGGGGCGGGGGCGGGGGGTGCTCCGGAGAAGCTCCAGGCAAATTTCACCGCCGACCTCCAGGATGTGACGGACCACTACGTACGTACGCAATGGCGATCTTGGGCTGTCTTGGAGCAGTCCTGGTGCTGTCTCCGAAGCCAGCCGAGAGCCTTTGGGACAATTCTAGGAGCCTTTTTGGAGGGTCTCAGGGCCATCTTGGGGTGTTTAGGTGCCTTTGGGAGCCATCTTGGGCCGTCTTGTAGCTGTTTGGGGGCCATCTGGGAGGCCAGCCCTTGGCTCCTGGAGCCAACGAGCGGGGCTCTCTTGGCGACCTCTTCGGCCGTGCGTGGGCCCTGGTGGAAATGTCTTGGGCCTTCTCGGAGGCTCCTGGAAGCGAGGAATCGACAAAGCAAGGATTATCAGCGAGTGCGATTGGACCAGCCGAAAGCGATTTGGAGCCGGCACGCAGCAACGCAGCATGCAGACCAACGCGCGTCGGCACGCAGAGGGTGTGCGTAACACCGCCTCTAGCAGGGCGCGTCGCGGCTCTGTGTTCGCTGGAGGGTCCACGGTGTCGCATCTGACGTTTGTGGTGGTAGGTGGTAGTGGTGGTTGTGGTGGTGGTGGTGTCTCTCCCGCTTCGTCTAGACGGCTCCCACCCTCCTCTCTTACGTCTTGTCCGTTTCTCCTTCTCTTGTGCGTACCTCGCCTCGCGTGCGCGCCGCCTTCCCCTACACTCGTCTTTCCCGCCCTTTCTCCTGGTCCCCTCCCACCCCCTCCTCTTCCCCATCCGTCCAGCGCGCCTGTGGGAAGGAGCGTGAGCGCGCAACTTTTGCCCCCATCATCCATCACGCTCCGCGTGCATTGCATTCGTGTGTAGCACGAAAGAGAGCTGCCCCGCCCGTCGCCCTCTGTGTGGCCCTGGCTGGTCGCGAGCGCCCCCGCGACTGTGACAGCCGGCTCGAAGCACGTGGGCGCACCCATAGGCGCCGCGACCTGCAGCTGGGCCAGCCCCTGCACCGTTGCCCATTGTGGAGGCCCCCCCAATGTGCGAGAGACACTCTGCGTGGAGGAGACGGGCGCGGAGGAGCTCTGTGAGCTAAGTGAAGACTGGGTCGCGGTCGTGCGCTGAGGCTTTGCGGGCCATTTGGAAGTGGCGGGGTCTCTTGATCGCGCGATGCAGGGCGAGCGGGACGGCGCGTGCGCCACCGCCGCCCAGCGCCTCCACAATGCGCTGTTCACGCGCGGCGATAGGGTGGGAGTGCGGCCCGAGCTGAGGAGCAATGAGGTGGCCAGTCGCCGCGCCCGGCTCGAGGGCAGTTTCAGAACGCGCCCACGGTTTTGCACAGCGACGCTTCCTGCACAGAGTGCACGAGGCCAGTTGGGCGGCTCCGTGCGCACGGCGGCCAGCGGCGCCAATGGCGTGTTGGGCTTGATTAAGTCGGATGTTTCTAGAAGTGCCCTTGGGCCAAGGTGCCCCCAGGATTTTCGGGGCAGCCCCAACGACCCCCAAAGCACCCCTCACGAGGCCCAGAGGGCCCCAGGGGCTCCAAAATGGAGCGGCAAGCTGGGGGCATCTTCGGGCCGATGGCGTGCTGGGCTCGGTGGAGACACTCGCGCGCCGATGTGCTTCGCCGCGCCTCCCGAGTCTGCGTTCCTTTTTCGCGGACGCTGGCCGGGGCTCGGCCCGCCCCCCCTCCCGATCGGGAGGGCGTGTCCGCCTCGGCGGTGGCGCCGTGGCATGCAGGCCTCCCTTGGTGAGCTCCCTCGTCCCTGCTCTCCCTCGGCCTCTTTGCCGGAGGAAGGAGCGGCGACACCGACACCACATGGGGCCCACATCCAGCGAGGAGGTCCACGTTGCCTCCCCGAGCTTGGCTGCCGCTTGTTGCCGCGGCGCGAGCGCACAGCGGACTCCGCTGATGCGAGGCCGTGCAGCCCAGATGTCAACGCACCGGCCAGTCTTTGTGCAGCTGGGCTGTGGGCCCATGCAGGGCTGGACCTAAACGCTGTTTTGTTGGACTTCGGCTGTGTTTTGTTTTTCTTTTTGGGAGGGAGTTACAGGAAAGCAGGTCGAGCAAAACGAAAAAACGAGCCAGAGCCTAGATAGGTACGGGCAGGACCACGATAAGAGACGGACGAGATGCAAGAATCCAGTGAGGGAGAATATCCGATTAGCTAGTGGAGAGGTGGAGGCGAGTGAGGAGCAGGAGGGGGGGGAGGAGGAGGAGGTGGTGGAGGAATGGGAAGAGGAGGAGTAGGAGGATCAGGAGGGGGATGAGGAGGAGAACATAGGAGGACGGGGGAGGACGGCGGAGGAAGAGTAGAGGGAAGGTGAGGCGGCGGAGGCGGAGGAGAAGGGGGGCCGCCAGACAGACGGCTGGGGCGACGTGCTCGACGCGGGCACGGGGCCCGACTCCCTGAATTGGCTCGCGGCTGGCCCCGCAGGCCCTTTCCCTCTTTTTTTTTTTTTTCTCTCTCTCTCTCTCTCTCTTTTCCCCCCCCCCCCCCTCTCTCTCTCTTTCTCTACCTCTCGTACCTGTCTTTTTCTTTCTCTCTCTCTCTCTCTCTCATCAACCGCCCCCCTCTTCGCTCCGTCTCTCCTGGCGTTTTCCCTCTTCCTTCGTCCCTCCCCCTCCATTCCTCCCACCCTCCCTCGTTCTCCCCCTCCTCTTTTTGCAAGGCCCACATCAATTCCAACGGCGGGCACATGTACGCCCACGAAGGATTGTTTCAGGCTTGCCCGCCTGTCTAAGCCCGCCGCCCCCCGCAAAGAGAAATAATTCCCCCCAAAGGGGTGTGATCGAAGACACAAATGGCGGGTGTCGAGGGTGTGGGGAACTCGTTTTGAATGACACGCGGGTAAGTAAGAGCGAACAGTCTTATAATGATTGTTGCTGTTGCTGTGGGTTGCTGTTGTTCTTGTTGTTGCGGTTGCTGCTGCTGCTGTTGCTGCTGTTGTTGTTGTTGTTGGTGTTGTTGTTGTTGTTGTTGTTGTTGTTGTTGTTGTTGTTGTTGTTGTTGTTGTTGTTGTTGTTGTTGTTGTTGTTGTAGATGATGTGTTTTGTTGTGTTTTGTTGTTGTTGCTGTTGTTGTTGATGTTGATGCTGATGTTGTTGAAGCTAGAACCTTCATGTCTAAGGGAGAATTATAGTTGACCCCCTCCTCCGTTAACCGCTGTAGTGTTTTCAGTTGAAGTGCCCAATTCGGGGCTCGCACCGTGTTTTTCCCCTACCCGACAGGTTGGGGTCATAAGGTTCTAAAAGCAGACCTCCTGGCCCGCTCTCCCTGCATACCGCGGCCGCCAGATCCCTGGGCTCCCGATAATCTCTGGTGGTCTCGCCCCCCCCCCTCCCTGCATACCGCGGCCGCCAGATCCCCCGGCTAGTGGTAATCCCTGGTGGTCATGCCCCCCGCGCCGATTCACCAACTCTGTAATCTGCGGCCGCCAGTTCCCCAGGTCCCCCGATAATACGTGAGGGTCCCGCCCCCCGCGCCGACTCGTCCACTCTGCATACAGCGGCCGCCAGATCCCTAGTTCCCCCACATAACAGGGCAGAACACCACAACGCCGAACAGACGTATCCGAGCATAAAGTAAACTTTCATGACCGACCGTATCGTAACATAACACATCATGACAGAACAGCGCATACCATAGCACAGCGTCACATCACATAGACACATCATCACATAGCATGACATAGCAGTTCATAACACATCACAGCACAGTAACGGATGCCATAATATATCTTATCATACATAACATACCATGGCACGCCATACCATTCTATGGCAGACCATCGCCTCACATGGCAGAGCATCACATAATATACCAAGCCCGAACAAACCACAACCTACCACAACATCACACCACATATCATTACATAACATGGCGACCACAACTGACAGATCGTTGCATACGATGCTAGACCAAGTCGCAGCATATCATAGCATCACACCATAAGCTATGTCAGACGTTGTCAGACAGAACATCGCATACCGCCACAGTTCACAACACAAGCAATAACAAGAGTATACGATGACACATCATGTAATAACATATCATACCATAACATACCATGGCAGAGCATATCATACCGTAGCACAGTCGCACAGCACATAGCAACCCATACCATGACACATCATACCATGACAGAGCATAGTACAGCATAGCATGACAGAGTACGTCATACAACCATCGCATAACAACACATACCATAGCATAGCATGCGATAGCAGGATAGAATTGGACACGCCATATCAACGCATGCAACGACGACGGAGCACAGAGCATACCATAACACCACACATCAGACCAATCAAGAAAGGACAGGTACACCATAACACAGCGACCATACCATAGCACAACATTTCACACAACGACATAAACTGACATAACATAACTTGCCTCGCCCCAGATATTGATTCGTTTTGTTTCGTCAGGGGCTCTGGTGCCGTTGGATGTCAGGAGGGCGGCAACTTGTGACATGGCCCGACCGCCGCACTGGCAGAGACCACCGCGCCCCGCGCACATCGTTCCAACGAGCGCGCGCACCTGGGGGATCAAACGCCGAAGGTTTCGGTGGGGATCGCTCGAAGCCAACGGATTTTACAAGGGAGCTCTTGGCGTCACCAAGCTGAGCCCCTGGCCTCCGAGTTACAACAACAACGGCTCCCACCTGATACGTCCTTGCGATTGATTTCTACATCGCGCTTTCGTGCGGGACTTCCTTACAAGTTTTGCAGGAATCGCGATCTCGCGTGGGACTCCCTCGCAATGGATTCAGACGATGCGCCCTCGACACCCAGGAATCACGCTCTCGCCCTTGGCATTTCTCAGGAATTATTTGGGAATCGCGCTATCGCTCGAGCTTTCCCCGCGCTTCATGCAGTACCCACGGTTCAGTAACACGCCTTCTCACCCTGGCCGATTGGGCCCGCCTTTCTGACCCGCCCGCTAGGGTCGAACCGCCCGATGGGCCCGTCTGGTTCTGCCACGTGTTTTCTGCTCCTAACCCCCCTCCTGCAAATCCCGTGCTCCATCCTTCTCCCTCCCCCTTCCATCCGTCTTCTCTTCCCCTGTTTCAGGGGCTGCACCAATTACACGCGGCAGGTGAGGAAGATATGCCCACAGAGGGGGTACGATCTAAGACAAAGAGGGCGGGTATCGAGGCCTTGGGGTATGCGTGCGGAGTGGCACGCGAGCAGGTAAGACGAACAGTCTTAAACTGAGTGTTGTTTTGTTGTTGTTGCTGCTGCTTTTGTTGTTGTTGTTGGTGTCGTTGTTGTTGTTGCTGTTGTTGTTGAACTTTCACTACTGAAGAATAAGTATTGTTGACCCCCCCACTGGTGCAGATGGTATTTTTAATTGAAGTGCCCCTCCCGGCGCTCGCACCCTGTCTTTTATTAGGGAGAGTCTTCCTCCTCAAACTGTGTTGTTGGCCCCCGGGTTACAACAACAACGATTCCCGCCTGAGACGTCCTCACGATTTAGGCAGGACCCCCGCTCCCGCCTGAGAGTTCCTCGCATTTTCATCAGGACCCGCGCTCTCCCTTGGGACTTCCTTACAATGTATTAATGAATCGCCCCCTCGGCACTCTGGAGTCGCGCTCTCGCTGGGGACTTGCTTGCAATCTACCCAAGTCCCCGCAGTTTACTCAAGCGCCGCGCTCCAGACGCTCAGACACCCAGGAGTCGCGCTCACGCTTAGGACTCCCTCACAGATTTTTTAGGAATCGGGATCTCGCTACCCTTCGTGGCTTCGTTGCAGCCCTTCGTGACCCCCTCGCTGCCCTTCGTGGCCCCGTTGCAGCCCTTCGTGGCCCCTTCACTGCCCTTCGTGGCCCCGTCGCAGGCCTCCGCGGCCCCCTCGCTGCCCTTCGTGGCCCCGTTGCAGCCCTTCGTGGCCCCTTTACTGCCCTTCGTGGCCCTGTTGCAGGCCTTCGTGGCCCCCTCGCTGCCCTTCGTGGCCACGTTGCAGCACTTCGTGGCCCCCTCGCTGCCCTTCGTGGCCACGTTGCAGCCCTTCGTGGCCCCCTCGCTGCCCTTCGTGGCCCCGTTGCAGCCCATCGTGGCCCCCTCGCTGCCCTTCGTGGCCCCGTTGCTGCCGTTAGTGGCCCCGTCCTTGCCCTCTGCGGCCCAATGTACGTATGCCCTTCGTGGCCCCTGCTCGTTCGCGCCCGTCGCGGCCCCATGTGAATGCCTTTCGTGGCCCCGCTGTCGCCCTTTGTGGCCCCCTCGCTGCCCTTCGTGGCCCAGTTGCTACCTTCAGTGGCCCCGTCGTTGCCTTCTGTGACCCCGCATTATCTGCCCTTCGTGCCCCCCGCTCGTTCGCGCTCTTCGTGGCCCCATACGCATTCCCTTCGTGTCCCCGCTGTCGCCCTTCGTGGCCTACTTCGTGCCCTTCGTGGCTCTCTCTCGCTTTCGCTTTCGCTCGTCGTCGTCGTCGTCGTTGTCGTCGTCGCTGTCGTCGTCGCCGTCGTCGACGTCGTCGTCGTCGTCGTGGTCGGTCCCCTGTCCGTCCCGCCGCCGATCAGCGCTGCCGTTGGCCAGGCCGACGGTCCGCGGCCGGCCCGCCGCTTGCCGGGGCACGGCCTGCAGGGAAGAAAGGCCTACCGCCCAAAAAGGGCACGATCGAAGACGAAGATCGAGGATTCGGGAACCACGCGCTAACGTGCATTCAAGCAACTAAGAGCCAACAGTCTTAAAATAATCCGCCGACCCCTTGTGGGATCTCTGCGAGATTATCCCCCCTGTAATCCCCCCCCAGGGACCCCAAACCGGAAATTTGACCCCCCCCCCTGGCCCAGCGCGACCCCAGACCGAACGCGTCATGGGGGAGCGGAGGGCGCCAAAACGGGCCAAGAAGGCACCAAAACGCTCCCCAGACGGTCCCAGAGGGCCACGAGTCGCCGAGATATCGCTCCTTGACGCCCACGATGGCCTCCGAAGCTGCCAAGACGCCCCCAAAGGCCCCCAAGATGCGTCCAAAGAGGGTCCCAAGAAACACAAATCGTTCCATTCCCTTGGGAAAAAATGTTTCGCATACTTGCCTGTTCGGCTTCTTCAATATCGCCCCTGGACGGCCGAAGGGGCCCCCGAGAGGGGTCGAAGAGAGCCCAAGAGGGCCCCCAGTCGGCTCCAAGAGGGAGTCCAGAGGACACCTTGTCGAGCATTCGGCCCCAAAACGCCCCCAGCCTGCCCCAAGAGCACCCCAAGAGTCCCTGAGGGACCCCAAACAGAACCTCACAGGCCTCCAAGAAGTCCTCAGGAAGCCTCCAAAAGGCCTCAGAACTTGGCCCAAGATGCCTCGAGGCGGCCGGGTATGGCCTGCAGACAGGCCAAGATGCCACCAAAAGGCCACAAAAGAGCACCAAGAGGCACAACGAAGCAACAGGAACGATGCCGAGCGCCGTGTCATGATTCGGACAAGCCTGGTGAAACGCAGTCCTGGAGCCGCAACCGTTTAGATAGGGGCCGGCGGATGTGGCGTAAGCCTATAGAAAATGTGTTAGTGTTGTTATTGCTGTTGTTGTTGTTGTCGTCGTCGTTGTTGTTGTTGTTGTTGTTGCTGTTGTTGTTGTTGTTGTTGTTGTTGTTGTTGTTGTTGCTGCTGCTGCTGCTGTTGTTGTTGTTGTTGTTGTTGTTGTTGTTGTTGGTGGTGTTGTTGTTGGTGTTGTTGTTGTTGTTGTTGTTGTTGTTGTTGTTGTTGTTGTTGTTGTTGTTGTTGTTGTTGTTGTTGTTATTGTTGTTGTTGTTGTTGCTGCTGCTGCTGCTGTTGTTGTTGTTGTCGTTGTCGTTGTTGTTGTTGTTGTTGTTGTTGTTGTTGTTGTTGTTGTTGTTGTTGTTGTTGTCGTCGTCCTTGCCCGCGACCCACCCCGCAACCCACCCCGCGACCCACCCGCGACCCACCCGCGACCCACCCACAATGCTTTGACGAGAAAGTCGGTGCTGGTGGCGGGTTTGTTGCGTACTTTGTTAAACAAATGAGCGTTTGCGGCGGGCTTCTTCCGAGCCTCGCAGACAGCAGGCAACCCCGCCGCCCTCTCGGTCTGATCCGCAGCTGCGGAGTGCCACGCAAGGAAAACGGATTGTGCACCCGTGAAGTTTGTGCAAATTTCAAGCTACAGGCTCGTAAGCGGCGAGGAATCTCAAGCGAATCGCCCAGCCTGCCCTACCAGCACGTCTGGGGGTGCGACAGGGGGGAGTTATTCATAGGGAGAAGGGGTGGAGGAGGGAGGAGGAGGGGAGCAGCGAGAACCCTGGTCGGCTTGGCCTTCGCCGTGGCTCTGGTCATCCTGGAGACCTTTTCTTGCTCGGCGGCCGCGGGCGGCCGCAATCCTGACGCTGCGGGCGACTTGGCGCCCCCATAGTTTGGCAAATAACAGAGGAACGGCGAGGAGGGGCCGCCTCGGCCCCCCCTGCGGGAGGCTCCATCACAGCGGTGACCGCCTGCGAGGACATGCTCGAGACCGTGCAGGACAGCGGCCGCCGCGGCGGACGGCGACGGCTGCGACGAATGCTGCGGCGACTGCGACGTCGAGGCTCTCGCATGTCGTAGACGCTTCGGAGGAAGGAGGCGACACCACCAGGGGTGCCACATCCGCTGAGGGGGTCCACCATGACTCCCCGAGCTGGGGACAGTGGATGTCTCGAGCGAGGGGGGGGACCCACCACCAGGAAGACCCTCCCTGGCGCCTCGCGCAGGTGGTGGTGGTGGTGGTGGTGGTGGTGGTGGTGGTGGTGGTGGTGGTGGTGGTGGTGGTGGTGGTGGTGGTGGTGGGTGGTGGGTGGTGGTGGTGGTGGTGGTGGTGGTGGTGGTGGTGGTGGTGGTGGTGGTGGTGGTGGTGGTGGTGGTGGTGGTGGTGGTGGTGGTGGTGGTGGTGGTGATGGTGGTGATGGTGGTGGTGGTGGTGTCGCCTTTCCTCTTGCTCCAGGACTGGGGCCGCTATTGGCTTCTGGGGCCTCGATTTCGGCCTCTGGGGTCGGGCACTCGGACAATCAGAAATTGATCCGGAACGAGAAACCGTTATATCTTATGGAAGAAACTCTCGGGAGGGAAGAAAGGCCAGGGCTCACACAAGGCTGGGCTGGGGCGCAAATCCCAGGGCGAAACAATTGGTCTTTATGTGTGTATGTCACGCGATAATATCTGGCACGGGCCAAGTTATATAATCGCCCCCCAACAGCAGTGCGCATAGAGAAGCAGCGGCGTAGCGCGCGTCACAAACAAGAACAATATGACAAGACGGGCGCCCCGGGGCGAACCGTCAGGATCTCGGCTTCGCCCTACAGCAACGGCATTGTTGTATGGCCCCTGCGTGTGGAAAAAACAAAATTGAAATCACGCCTACCGACCCGTCGAGATCTCATTTTCTACCGACAACAGTGCGTTTCGACCGTCGAGGGCGAAATTCTGCCGTCGGGAGAGAAGCTGGTGAGCGCGTGGCCATAGTGCAATGTGTCTCAGATAGCTCCAAGGGCCCCCCCCAAGGCCGTTCGCAGGGCTCCACGAGGGCCCCGCGAGGGCCCCAACGGGGGACGAAGGAGGTCCTTCAAGAGAGCCTCAATAGGGACCCACTACCCCTTCACAAGAGCCCCACGACGGTCCCCAGAAGCCCAGGGACGACCCCAGACGTACGCGACGCGAGTGTTCGGGTGGATAACGAATTGCACATTGCGTAGATCAGGATGTTCAGGCACGCGGCAGTCAGCTTTTCTTAAGCGAGTCCAGGGCAATTTTTCTTGGCCAGCCCCACCTGGCCCAGAACTCCACCTTTAGTCCCTCCCGATTTGACACATCCCGGGGAGGCTTGTCCAAGGGGGGTTGTCCTGTGGGGTTGTCCAGATCCCCGCTAGGTTGTCCGTGGTAGGTCGTCTTGTCGTCATGGTATCTGCATGGGCTGTCCGCGGGGTTCTCCATTTTTCTCCGTTAAACATAGTACCCCCAGGGAAAGGGTCGGGGCTTCCCCTGGGCCGCGCGTTGAAAAGCTCACGTCGCCAGCTGCCCCGAGACCGTCAATAAATAAAGGGGGGGCGTTCGTTAATGAATGAGACCATGAGGCTTCAGACCCTCGAGGATTCCTAATGATATGAGGGCGGTGGTGATATCCGTGGCAACGCCTAAATTGGTGTTCCACTGGCTTCTAGACCATGGGTTCCTGATCCAATGGTTCCCTGTCCAATGCCCTCGCCGTAGTCTCAGGATGAAAAGCTGTCCCCGGTGCAAGACCCCCTGGGTCCAGACCCGCTTCTTGCATGACTGGCCAGAGTCGCCGTCGACATTCCAAGGCACAGTACCCTAGCCTCCAGCCTCTGGCATCCTACCCCGGCTTCCACCCTTCGACCTCCGACCTCCCTCATCTCGACACTCAGACCTCCCTGCTTCGGCGGCCGATTCCGCCTTCATCGACATCTGGGGGTTTGTGGTCTTGGATATTCTCTGTACTTGCATCTGGTCGTTGACCTCTCTGGGTTCCCTTTGTCTTGCACTGTCGGGGATCGTATATGTGCTCGTTGGGTCCTGCTCTGTCTCCAGCCCCGGCTTCACTTCCAGTGAGAATGCGAGCGGCAGTTCCAACGCCAGCTTCGAATCCCCAGCTCCGACTCCCCCGCCGCTTGACAGCTCCGTCGTCAGCCCCGTCCCCCCCTTCGACGCCAACTCTGGCTCCGACACCTGCACGGACTCCAGTGCCAGAGCGAAGACCAGCTGCGACTCCACAGTTCCGACTTCCCTGCAGCTATTGCAACGGCTCCGACGCCAGCTCCGACCCCTTCCGACGCCAGCTCAGGCTCCGACTCCAGCCCCGAACCTTGCGCCATTTCTACCAACTCCGACCCCCTGTAGCAGTTTTTTACTACCACGGCTCCGATGTCATCTACGACCCCCCTTCCGAGGCCAGCTCAGGCTCCGTCATCTGCACCGACTCCGGCGCAAATTCCAACACCAGTTCCGACTCCCCTGCCGCGGACGCGGCTCCCACGCCAGCTCCGACCCCCCTTCTGACGCCAGCTCCAGCTCCGCTCCCAGCACCGACTCCAGCGCCAGACCCAACACCAGCTCCAAATCCGCAGCTCCGACTTCTCCACCTATGCGTAAGCTTTTGTGTTTATCAGGTGTATTGAGCCATCACGCTTGCGGATGTCAACATAACTTCCAATGTCAAACATGATGTTTCAGACTTCGTATGTTAAGTCATCCTGTTGGTTCTAGAGCCTCTTACCCGATCTCAGATGGCTTGAGCCTTCACGCCTACGGGCGTCCACACAACTTTCAATGAACGACATGCCTTATCCCACTTGAAAGAATAATTCATCCGGATGGTTCTGAAGACTATTACCCCGAACTCTTTCGTAATCTAGGTGCTACCACAGTTTCGCTGCCAGCTCTGACCCCCTCCGACGTCAACTCTGGGTCCGATCCCAACACGGACTCCAGTGCCAGAGCTATCACCAGCTACGACTCGCCAGCTCCGACCCCCCTTGCTGCTGCCACGACGGTTCGGGCACCATTTCCGAGTCCCCTCCGACGCCAGCTCCGATTCCCTCCCCAGCACCGAGTCCAGCGCCAGTTCCAACACCAGCTCCGACTCCCCAACTCCGAATCCCCTGCCGCGCCACGGCTCCGACGCCGGCTCTGAGCCCCCATCCAACGCCAGCTCCAGCTCCGACCCCAGCACCGACTCCAGCGTCGATTTTGTCGTCAGCTCCGACCCTCATGCTGGGACATGCTCCGTCTCTGAGGTGATCTTCGTCTGCTGGTCTGGTTCCGAATCCCGCAATTGCCCCCACTACTTTGCCGGCTCCATCCTCCGCCGTCCGCACGACGCCTACGGAGGTGACCGTGCAGATGGCCCCGACGTTCTCGTGCACAACAGCTGGCATTTTCCCCCGCCCGACAGGTTGGGGCCGTTAGATTTGAAGAGCAGACCTCCAGGCTCGTCCACACGGCCGCCAGATCTCCAGGTCCACCGAGAATCCCCCGAGACGCCCGCCTCACGCCGACCCGCCCACTCTGCATAACGCGGCCGCCAGATCCCCAGGTCCACCGAGAGTCCCCCGAGACCTCCTCCTTGCCCGCTTCGACGAACACGGCAGAACCTCACATAACTTTGCAGAGCACCACACATCACAAAATGCAAATTCCACAGCATTGCGTAAAATATTACAAGATAGCTGAGCACAGCATCACACACAGACGCAAAACACGTCAGAACAGAACCCATCATCACGCAATACACCGTTGCATGACATAGCATGGCATGACATCTCACAAGAGAGCACAGCACACCGGCGCATGCAATGACAGAGCCTAGCATACAGAAAAGAGCATAACATCGCACACTACACAATAACGCAACCGAGCGTAAACGTCGGTCTCGCACGTCGGTGAGTTCCTTCCCCTCTCCGAAGAAGCCAGGAGAAAAGAACGCGCAGAGCGGGCCAGTTTCTGCAGGACCCCCCATCGCGCCCTCCCGAGGGAGGAGCGTTTCCACCTCCGAGAAAGGGGCGGCCCCCACTTTCCTGGGCGCAGAAGCCGCACTTGCCGCCGGGATTATGCGCTCCTCCTCCTCCTCCTCCTCCTCCTCCTCCTCCTCGTCATCCTCCTCCTCCTTTTGTCACTTTTATCGGCTGGGAACAATGGCGTGAAGAGTTAGAAGTTGCTGCTCTCGAGCATCGCCCCCTCGCGCTCGACCTCCGTCGTGGCCCTGGCGCCCTCCTCCTGGCAGAGTCGGAGCACTGCTGAGAATCCGAGAGAAGCTGCCCGAGGCTTTCCCACAAAAGGGCCCGCAGCGCAGGAAAAGCTGCCCTGGAACAGATCCAGATTGACCTCCCCTGTGCTCGGAGTCGCGCTGCCGCTGCCCCGACCTTTGGCTCTCCGCCCAAGACCCAGGGCCTGCGTACTGCCACTCCTTCCGCGCACCTTCACATCGCCTCCTTGTATATCACTTCCACTTGCCTCCCTGTAAATGGTCTCCTGGTCGCATCCACCTGATCCGCAGGATTGATTGGTCGTCGGTGCAAGTCGCGTGCGCCCGTCCTCTACTGCCCGCGCATGCGTGCATCAAGGATCTCAGCGGATCGTAGACGACCGAATTGAGATTCCAGGACTGTAGATATTGGATCGTGGATGTTCCCCAAAGGCTAACGACTCGGCGCCTCACTGTCTGAGCTGCCCTGTCTTCCTTTGTTTGACTTTTCCATGATTGTCCGATTGCGCGCTTCGGTCTGCTTGGCAATCGCACCACGCCCGGGTCTTCACATGTTCTTGCTACTGTTCATCTTTGTACACGCACCTATCGATTCTCTCTCGGAAGCAGGGACAGCGCCGAGCGCAAGGCAGGTGGCCGACGTGCTGCCGCAGGCGCGAGCCGCCATACAGCGGATTTTGCGAACATGATGAAACAGGCCCACAGCTGCGTGCCCAGGAGGAAGAGGAGGAGGATGACAATGAGTAAATGGCGATGCATGTGGGGGCCTTGTGGGGGTTGTGCGGGCGTTTTGCGGCCCCCAGGAGCGACCTGGCGCGGTTGGCCAACCGCATTGCGAAACCAGATGTTTTGAATGCTGGGGGACTGTCCGGTTGTCTCCTGCAGAGCGTCTGGGAGGCTTGATTTGGCTTCTCGAGCGCTTTCTGTGGCCTCATGGGCACCTCTTAGAGCTTTAGGGAGCTGTCGCCCCCCCCCCCTTGACGCACTACCCACCCGCGTGCGGCAATCCACACCACCGCGCCAGAAGAGCATCGAGTCTCAGCAGGGCGGCTCTATCGAACTCCTCTCGTACGGGCTCGGTCAAGCAATCTTGGGGCCGTGTCGGAAGCATCGCTGCAATGCTGCAGGGTGGCTCGGCCACAGCACAACCTGTTGCATGATCGTTTATTTGCCTCTTTGGAACTTTTTCGAGGCATCTCGTGGGTTTATTCGCGGCGCTCGAGAAACGGCCTCGCCTTCGAGGGTCGAATGAGTTGGCCTCTCTTCCTCGGCGGAAGGCGGCGCAGGGGCGGCGGAAATAATGTGGGGGCGTCTCCGTCAGCGGTAGCCGGCGGAAGGCCAGCGGAAGCAAACAAGCACCATCCCGAAGAGATGTCAAGTATTTTGGATCCGTGGTTTCTGAAACCCGCCATTTAGAGCCAGTTTCAAGCTGCCTGCGGGGTCTCAGGGGCCTGTGGGTTGGTTGTGGGTGCCCCCTTTTGGGGGGCCCGCTGGGGGGTCCTAGGGCCGCCTTGGGCGCCTCTTTGAGGACTTCTTGAGCCTGCCAGGTTTCTTCGGCTTCTGGGGGCACGTTGTGGCCTCTGGTGGTCTGGGCGGCACCGTGTAGATCTCTGGCCCATTGTGTACAGGAATGGCTCGCGCGGCGTCATGGACCTGCTAGGTGGCCTCTCCCTGACATGATTGCCCTTGCTGTACAGCGCGCGCGTGTGGGTTCCAGACGCTCAGTCTTCGTCCGCGGAGGCAGTGCGTACACCCAAAATAGAATCGTGTCCGCAGATGGAGGGAGCCTTTCGGCGACGCGTAATATTGACCCAAGGCCAGAGTGACTTTCGGTGCGGGCCCACGGGGGTCCCCCCAGACCTGACCCACCTAGCACTGCACTGGCTTGCGCGCCTGGATCTGGTCCCTCCGCGACCCTCTAAAGCCACGCACCAACGGTCACTCTTGTCCGGGGGCCCACTTTCGCATGGAGCAGGGCCCATGGAGACGACGGCGGCTCTCCCGCCCGGCCCACGTCCGTTCTCTCAGGGCCCCTCCTGGCCCCTTCTTCAGAGGCGGATCCAGCCATGGCGGCGTGGAGCTTCCAGCCCCAACGGCGCGGAACGACGCCAGGGAGGGCCACCGCGGCCTCTGGTGGTGGCCCTCCTCCGGCACGCGCAGCGGAGCCTCGGCCGCGGGGCTGCCCGGGGGAAGCTGTGCCGGCGGCCGTGCTCAGGAGGAGGTGAGCGAGTGCCTGGACCCGTCCGTCGACAGGCGAGGCCGCCCGCCTCCCCTTGTGCTCGGTGGCCGTGCTCGTGCGCGGCCGGTCGCGCCGAGGCAGGCACGGGCGGCGACGCCCCGCGCGGGCGCTCCGTGTGGAAGGCCACGGGCGGCCCGGGATCGCCACGGGGGAGAGCGGTTCGGAGGGTGGCGGGTCCCTGGGGCTCTGTTCGCCGTTCTTGTGGCTTCCCGGTGCCTTCCACGGGCCCCGGGAGTGGTCAGATGACGACGCAGGACGAGCAGCTGGCCTGTGGGGAAGGCCTCGGGGTCCGGGACCTGTTCCCGCCGTTACTCGATTGCTACGTGCCAGCTGTGAACCAGGCGAACCTCGAACGAACGGCTTCCGCAGCGGAGATCGCTCAATATTGATTTTCCTGCACGGTGTGCGGCACCACTCGCCACGAAGGAAGGGGAGCCACGAGGGAGACGAGTCCTGGACCTTGGGACTTTCCCCAGGGCAGGTTTTTCGAGCCGAGTCGGTTTTGACGGCCCCGGGTCCGCAGAGGGTCCCAGGGGGCCCGACGACGGCAAGCAATTTCCAGGACCCGATTCCAGCAGGGATCCGCTTCCTCCATGCTGAGCCATCGTCCACGTCGACACGGCAGAAGCCGGCCATGGCCTGCCTTCGATCTGCCTTCTCTCCCGTCCCAGTCTTCTGTTGCCAGCCCCCAGGCAGGCTAGGATGAGGATCGTCGCTCCTGGGCGTATTACAGCGCTTTCAGAGCGTCCCAGAGTACCCTGGAACGGTCGCGGCTCCCGATGCATCCTCCAGGTCCGCTGGCTCCCAGAGGTCATCAGTATCCGCACTTCTTCGCGTCACGCCTTCGGCTTAGGCCTCCCCCTTCCCCCTCCCCGCCTGCCCTTCGGAGTAGAGTCGAGTTTGATTAGTAGGTCGACCCTGCCCAAACAAGGGTACCCTTGTGTCCAGTGTTTCGCGACCCATGCCCTCTACGTTCCACTGGCAATGTGGCCATCGGACATGTCGCGGGGGCTCCCCGGCCACCACCGTGCCAATGTTGAGCTACACTGTCAATGCCTCGCTCTCCTGGGGCTTTGCTGTGTTCTTGTTCGTCAAAACTTGTCGCGTGTGCGGAGCTACACTGTCAATGCCGCGCTTTCCTGTGGCTTTGCTGTGTTCCTGCTCGCAACGCACGCCGCCAGAGGCGTCGGAGAACTTGAGAGATCCATCCGCAAAAAGTGCCCTCTCGCGTGTCCTCTCCAATCCACCCCGACTGTAGAGACCCGCCGCCGCCGAGAACCCAACGCGGGGAGGTCGACCCTTTGGCCACTGGCACGTCCGAGCGCCAGCCAGAGCCGGACGACGCTCGGGCGTGCCAGCGGCCCAGAAGTCGGCCTCCCCAACCAGGGTTTTCCGTGGCGGTGACACCCGTTTCTCCCTTGGCCCCTGGCGCTCTCCAGCCCCGCGCCGATCTTCCTCTCCCCATGTGCCCCCCCACCCACTCCAAAAAAGGGGGAGGGAGAAAAGTGCCGAGGAGGAGGATGATGACGAGGAGGAGAAGGAGGAGGAGAAGGAGGAGGAGGAGGAGGGAAGGAGGGAGAATGCGGGAAGGAGGGAGGGAGGGATGAGGGAAGGATGGTTTGAGGGAGGTTGCGATGAGAGAAGGGGGGATGAGGGAGGGATTGAGGGATTGAGGGATGAAGGGGGAGGGAGGTGGGATGAGGGAGGAGGGGGGAGGAGGGAGGAGGGAGGAAGGGGGGAAGGGGGGATGAGGAAGAGGGAAGGTGTGACAGGGGGAGGGAGGGGAAGAGGGAAGGTGGGAGGGAGGGAGAGGGAGGGAGGGTGGAGGGAGGCGGGGGGGAGGGAGTGATGGAGGGAGGGAGGGATGGGGGAGGGGGGAGGGAGACGGGAGGAGGGAAAGGGGAGGATGGCGGATGGAGAAGTGAGGAGGGAGAAGGAGAAGGGAGGAGGGAGGAGGGAGGGAAGAGGGAGGAGGAGGGAGCGAGGAAAGGAGGGTGGGGGGCAAGAAAGGAAAGGAGGAGGGAGTGAGGAGGAATAAGGAGGGATGAGGGAGGACGGAAGAGGGGGGATGGAGGCGGCAGGAAGGAGGAAGGAGGAAGGGCGATGGAGGAGGAATAGGGAAAGTGGGAAGGAGGGCGGGAGGGATAGGAGAAGGGAGGAGGGAGGATGGAGTAGGCAGGAGGGAGGTGGGGGTGAGGAGGGAGGAGGAAAAGGGAGGTGGGAGGATGGATGAATGACGAGGGAGGAGGAAGGGAGGAGGAGGGAGGAGGTAGAGGAAAGTGTGAATGAGACAGGGAGGAAGAATGGACGGAGGGGCGAAGGGGCGGAGGGAGGGAGGGAGGGAAGGAGGAGGGAGGAGGGAGGAGGGAGGAAGGAGGAGGGAGAACGGGACGAGGGAGGAAGAAGAGGGAAGGAGGGACGGAGAGAAGAGGGGAGGGAGGGAGGGAGGGATGAGGGAGGAGGTAGGAGGGAGGAAGCAGGAGGGAGGAGGGAGGAGGGAGGAAGCAGGAGGGAGGAGGGAGGAGGAAGAGGAAATGCGGCGCGGAGGAGCGGAGAGGGGGAGGGAAAAGAGTAAAAAGGAGGGAGGTGGAGGGAGGAGGGGTAGGAGGGATCAGGGACGAGGGAGGAGGGAGGAGGTAGGAGGGGGGAGGGAGGAGGGAGGGAGGAAGGAGGAGGAGAAGGGAGGAGGGAGGAGGGAGGGAGGGGGGGAGAGGAGGAGGGAGGAGGGAGGAGAGAGGGAGGGAGGACCGAGGGAGCAGGGAGGAGGAGGGAGGAGGGAGGGAGGGCGAGGGAGGAGGGAGGAGGGAGGTGGGAGGAGGGCCGAGGGAGGAGGAGAGGGAGGAGGAAGGAAGAGGGAGGAATGAGGTTGGAGGAAGGAGGAGGGAGGAAGGAGGAGGAAGGAGAAAGAGCGAATGAGGGAGGAGGCAGGATGGGCGGGAGGGAAGAGGGAGGCGGGGGAGGGAGGAGGGAGGGGGGGGAGGAGGGATTTGGAGAATGGAGGAGGGAGGAGGGAGGGCCCAGGAGGGAGTTAGAGAAGGGAGGAGGGAGGAGGGAGGAGGAAGGAGGGAGGAGGGAGGAGGAAAGAGAGAGGAGGGAGGAGGGAGGAGAAAGGAGGGAGGAGGGAGGAGGGAGGCGGGAGGCGAGAGGCGGGAGGAGGGAGGAAGGATGAGGGAGGGGGGGAGGGGACTGCTGCTGATGGGGGCGCTGCTGATGATGCTGATCGCGGATAGTGAATATGCTACGTGATTCTTACCACGCAGCGACTCGAAAAGTCGCCTGGCAGGCGGGGAACGCCACGCGTGGCCATCGGCTGCCCAAGAAATCCGCACGGATCCTTGAAAGGTTCTGTTTCTGCAGTTGTGTTGCGACTTGGTGTCTGGAGGGGGGGACCACAGGGAAGGGCTGGAGGGGCGGGGGCCCTCTCGGAAGGGCCTGAGAGGGCTTCTGCGGAGGCCTCCTACACGCTAGGACATGCAGCGCCTTGAACACATGAGGACGGAGAGGGGCAAGGCGAGGGGAAGGGGGCGGGCAAGGCGAGGGGACGGGAAGGGCTGGGGCCCCCCCCCCCGCGTTCATCCGCGCAGGGCCGGAGCGCTCGGCGCAGCCACCTTCGCGCCCCGGCGCCGCCCCCCGGAGAAGCCAGGCGCCCATGGCCAGGAGCGCGAGGCGCGAAGCGCCATCCTTCCCCCAGACATGCGACGTCCTGACAACATCAGGACGGCTGTTGTTCTCCGTGTTCTGCCTGTGGGGTGGCCCCCTGTGCCCTTGGACCGCCCAAAGACGATTCGGGATGGAACGCTGGCCCTGGGGAAAGGGTCGGTTCTTCCGGGGACAGCGCATGGAAAAACATCACTTCGCACGTCTGGGTGCGGGTTACCTAGGACCAGGAGGCAACAATTGGAAGGTCTTCGTGGGAATGGGTAAGGCCTGTTAGGCCAGACTAATGGGGCACCTGACCAACTGCCCCTGAGAATAAGACCCGGGGGATAATGAAAGTCGGGGTCCCGGGGGCGAATCAGGGATTTGTCCCGGCAAGTCGTACACGGGATGTGTGACGAAGAAAGAGGAGGTCGTCGTCCTCGTCGCACGAAGACGACGACGGCGACCTAGCCCTGTAACACGCTCGTGTCTGCGGAAAGCTGCAATGGTCATAATCTCATTTCACATATATCACAAGAAGGGGAGGGGGAAGGAGAGAGAACAGGGAGGGGGGGCGGTGGGGAGGGAGAGGAGAGAGGCCACAGGACCAGTTTTCCAAAAACAAATATGAATCTGGAGATTGCGCTATTTTTGCCCGAAAACACAAAAACTGTTGTTTTTTTGACGTCGTTTACGACATCAAATGTGTAGAAGCTCAAGGTGGCCCGTCTCCGGTGATATCCAAAGCCCGGGATGAAAAAGTTCGGGGGGGGGGGGACTGAGGGGAAAGAGGAAAGATGATTAGTAATAGTAGTAGTAGTAGTAGTAGTAGTAGTAGTAGTAGTAGTAGTAGTAGTAGTAGTAGTAGTAGTAGTAGTAGTAGTAGTAGTAGTAGTAGTAGTAGTAGTAGTAGTAGTAGTAGTAGTAGTAGTAGTAGTAGTAGTAGTAGTAGTAGTAGTAGTAGTAGTGTGTTAGTAGCAGTAGTAGTAGTAGTAGTTAGTAGTTAGTAGTTAGTAGTTAGTAGTTAGTAGTTAGTAGTTAGTAGTTAGTAGTTAGTAGTTAGTAGTTAGTAGTAGTAGTAGTAGTAGTAGTAGTAGTAGTAGTAGTAGTAGTAGTAGTAGTAGTAGTAGTAGTAGTAGTAGTAGTAGTAGTGGTAGTAGTAGTAGTAGTAGTAGTAGTACTAGTAGTAGTGATAGTAGTGATGGTTGAGTACTAGTAGTCGTAGTCGTCGTCGTCGTCGTCGTCGTCGTCGTCGTCGTCGTCGTAGTAGTAGTAGTAGTAGTAGTAGTAGTAGTAGTAGTAGTAGTAGTCGTTAGTTAGTTAGAGTCAGTAGTAGTAGTAAGTAGTAGTAATTTGTTAGTAGTATAGTAGTTGTAGTAATTAGTAATAGTAGTTAGTAGTAGTAGTAGTGTCGTCGTCGTCGTCGTCGTCGTCGTCGTCGTCGTCGTCGTCGTCGTCGTCGTCGGTCGTAGTAGGTAGTAGTTAGTAGTAGTAGTAGTAGTTAGTAGTGTGTAGTAATAGTAGTGGTAGTAGTAGTTGTAGTCGTAGTAGTAGTTAGTAGTAGTGTAGTAGTAGCAGCAAGCAAGTAGTAGTCAGTAGTAGTAGTAGTAGTTGTAGTAGTTGTTGTAGTAGTAGTAGTAGTTAGTAGTAGTTAGTAGTAGTAGTAGTAGTAGTAGTAAGTAGTAGTAGTAGTAGTAGTAGTCGTAGGAGTAGTAGTAGTAGTAGTAGCAGTAGTAGTAGTAGTAGTAGTAGTAGTAGTAGTAGTAGTAGTAGTAGTAGTCGTAGTCGTAGGAGTAGGAGTACCAGGAGCCGTATTAGGTCAGGTGCCCCATTAGTCTGGCCTAACAGGCCTTACCCTTTCCCACGAAGACCTTCCAATTGTTGCCTCCTGGTCCTAGGTAACCCGCACCCAGACGTGCGAAGTGATGTTTTTCCATGCGCTGTCCCCGGAAGAACCGACCCTTTCCCCAGGGCCAGCGTTCCATCCCGAATCGTCTTTGGGCGGTCCAAGGGCACAGGGGGCCACCCCACAGGCAGAACACGGAGAACAACAGCCGTCCTGATGTTGTCAGGACGTCGCATGTCTGGGGGAAGGATGGCGCTTCGCGCCTCGCGGTCCTGGCCATGGGCGCCTGGCTTCTCCGGGGGGCGGCGCCGGGGCGCGAAGGTGGCTGCGTCGAGCGCTCCGGCCCTGCGCGGGTGAACGCGGGGGGGGGGCCCCCAGCCCTTCCCGTCCCCTCGCCTTGCCCGCCCCCTTCCCCTCGCCTTGCCCCTCTCCGTCCTCATGTGTTCAAGGCGCTGCATGTCCTAGCGTGTAGGAGGCCTCCGCAGAAGCCCTCTCAGGCCATTCCGAGAGGGCCCCCGCCCCTCCAGCCCTTCCCTGTGGTCCCCCCCTCCAGACACCAAGTCGCAACACAACTGCAGAAACAGAACCTTTCAAGGATCCGTGCGGATTTCTTGGGCAGCCGATGGCCACGCGTGGCGTTCCCCGCCTGCCAGGCGACTTTTCGAGGGGTGCTATTGCGTATGAGGCCGAGACGACATGTGTGGTCACGGTCCCGAAGAGCTTCGAGGTGAAGATGACCGAGATCTTACCGCCGCTGGGTTGTTTTATTATGAAGCAGGCCTCGACGACGACTCCCAAGTGGTTTACCCAGAATGAGGAGGAGTCGCCGAAGGATTATCTCAAAAGAGTGTGTGGGCTGCTGAAGGAGAAGCGTAACCTGCTGGTGTACCGCCCGTACGGGCGGGCCAAGCTTGGTGCGACGACGCAGGTCAACGCGCCAGGCATGCTCGAGCTCACCAAGTACTATGTCAAGCATGCTCTTCCAACCTGGACGACGCCACAGATGGTGGCGGACTGGGCCACGGAGAGAGGGTTCTTGCGGGTGCAGGAGCCAACAAGGGCTGGGCCGAGGGCCTGGTTGTTCTATGCTGAGCCGCCGCAGGGTGTGGTGGCGACGAGCTTCTCATTCAAGAGCGGAGTGTTGGTGACCAAGGCCGTCAGACCTCAGGCGCCAGCACGACAGAAGCCCAAGGAGGGTGCAGCACCGACGACCAGGAGTGCGTGGGGCGCGGCCAAGCCGAGGGTCCAGAACATCGACGACGATACTGGAGGCCAGGCAGCTCCGACGGCTACGGCGACGACTCCAGCAGCGACTACACCGCCTGCCGGAGCACCAACGGTCACGCCGACGAAGGATGACGTCAAGACGGAGGCGAAGGAGGAGACCAAAGTCGAGTCCAAGCCGAAGTTGCAGAGAGGCGAAGATGGCAAAGCTGTGGGTAAATATGTGACTCCATATACTAAGTGGTTCAAAGTTATTCAATGTGCTGGTGATGGTGATTGCTTTTATATTGCTGCGGGCCGTGGTCTGCATCATGTCTCTCCGAGCGGGCGGGTCCCGCCCATCAACGCCTTCGAGCCGAAGGGTCCGATCCAGGGCCACCTACGCATGCTTGTGCAGAGGGCAGGCTTGAAGAAGGTGTATGGGACGACGAAGCTGCAGGCGGAGTATCACGGCACGACGGGGAACCCTGCGGGAGCCCTGGCGGTGAGGCTACTTGCGCACGAGGCGAAGACGGATATCTATATCTGGGCGAAAGATGCGAATGGCAAATGGATACTGTACGGACGAGAGCCGAATTCTAAGACAAAGAAGAAGGAGATCTGGTTGACCTTGGAGGACCAGCACTACCAGTGGTTGGAGCCTCGAGCGGACATCCAGGACTTGCCCGAGTACCAGAACACGTTACGGCTGTGGCGTGATCAAGCTTTCCCGTACCCCCAGCATGGCCTACAGGGCAGTGGCGGGGATGACGGTGATGATGCTGATATGTTATCTCTTCTTGGGCTGCGCAGTACACCGACAGCGCACTCAGGGGCTATTGCGAGTATCCTTGGACTGGATGAACGTGCAGACGAGATGCGCAGTCTCTTGGGCTTGGAGTCTGGCGGGGCCGAGGCCTTGGCGGAGGAAGCTGCAGGAGACGATGATGAGGCATTTAAGCAGTTTTGGTCTTGGCAAACTGGTGAATATTACAAGTGTGACAAGTGTGGTTGGACGCCCGACACATCCGACAAAGTGTGGTTGGGGAAGCGCAAGTACAACTCCTTGCTCAGCGTGCAGGCGGACAGGCACTGGAGGAAGTGCCAGGGCAAGCCGGCGCCCAAGATCGGGAAGATTGTGCACTCGCATATCTCCCAGTTTCTCGCGAACTCCGCCAAGATTCGTGAGAACGTACGCCAGCGTGGGTTTGCCAAGCATCTGTTGTGGAAGGCGAAGCTACCTATTAGTATTCAAGAGGCCGTGTGTGAATATGATCCTCGTACGGTGTTGACGATCCCGAACGCCACGAAGAACTTCACGGCCTACAAGTGCACGAGGTGTGGTCTCCAGAGGGCGCTTGGACAGGCGCCGTGGAACATATGCAGTGGAAGACATAACAAAGTTACGCGGAAGCAGTTCTTGACGAGTACGGTCGGGGTAGCACGTATGCGGCACTACTTTGAGGTGGAGCAGAAGCGCATCCAGAAGAAGAAGGCCAACTTCGGACCCGACAAGCGTGAAAAGAGGAAGAAGTATTGGGCCGAGTACTCCAAGAGGCCCGAGCACAAGGAGAGGAAGCGGATCCAGAACCAGAAGCTGGACAAGAGGAGGCTGAAGGACGGCCCCGAGCGCGAGCGCTACCTGATCCAGAAGCGTGAGCGTGGGAAGAAGGCCTGGAGGAAGAAGGTTGCTGCGCGGACGACGTCGGCCTCGGCGTCAGCGTCTGCCTCGGGACCATCGTGCTGAGGGTGCCCCGACCCCCGCGACCCGCTGCGCGGGGGGGGGGAGGCACCGTCAGGAAGCGGCCAGATGCGTTTGGCCACGATCAACGTCACAGCTCTGAATGCCGCCAGGCTGGAGGAGCTGCTCACGCACGACGACCTGAGAGAGGTGGACTTCCTTGCCCTGCAGGAGGTACGCCTACATACGGAGAAACCACGGTGGGTATCGGCCACGGCTCAGAGACTGGGTTGGAGATGTGCTGTTGGTGTACCGCCTGGGAAGAATGCGAAGTCAGTTACTATGCAAGGGGGGGCCGCTTTATTTTGGCGGCCCCGAGTTGGTGGAGTCAAAGTTTTTCGATCGGAGAGCCACAGGTACATGGGCGTGCGTGGAGCTTTTGGTACGATTGTATCCGCATATGGACCTGCCTCGGTCCCAAGTACTGAATGGATGGATGAAGTTTTCGACTGGACTAAAGTTACCGCTGCAGGAAAGCCCTGGATCATTCTTGGAGATTTGAACTGGAGGCAATCTTATCAGCAGTGTGTACCGATTCATGCGACTGTATGCCAGATGACGGCACCGACGACGCTGGCAGGGACGTTTCCGACCAGAGTCTGTGCCTCGGGTGCTGCCGTTCAGCATACTTCTACGGTTTTTGTGCAAGGTATCCCGTACCATGGCCTGGTTCTGTGTACGACATCCTGGAGTGCGATGGCGGGACCTACGACGAGACTGAAGCGGACATCGATTTTTGAGCTGGATCAGAGTACTCTGGTGTTACCTCAGGATGTTGAAGCACTGCGGTCAGACGTGGACCAGACCTTACCTATGCTGGGGAGGACGCACACGATGACGCAGAGATGGGCACGCTGGCATGCACGGGCCAACCGTGTGATGGAACTGGGGGTTGAGACGGGCATACTCATACGTAGTGGGAGTGCCGAGAGACCCAAAGGATCGATCCCAGAAGAAAGGCCTGTTGCATCGACGCCGAAGCGCAGGCCGAACGAGCCCATCATCTTGTCAAGACTGAAGAAGTTGGGCCGTAGCGTTGCTGAGCAGTTGAGAAGGAACCCACCGAACATGAAGTTGGAGGGCCACCAGCTCGACGTTTTCATTGAGTTGTGCCTGCGGCATGTTATTGATAATGGATGTGCTGGCCTACCGAGCTTGGGCCGTGCACATGACCGAGTATCCGAGGCGATTGCAAAGATGGAGCGACGCCTGAGGGCGGAGGACAGTTCTTCTTGGAAGCAGATTTTTGCCAAAGAAGTTATCGACCCTGAGTGGTGGAGGGCAGCGAGTTCGGTCATGCACGACCCGACGGAGTGCCCCGCCTTCACAGCTGACGACATGTCCGGGGAGTGGCGGAAGATCTGGCGCCCCGAGGACTTCAACGGCGAGGCATGTTCGACATCGTGGGTGGAGCATGCTCGGCGGATGCGTCGCCCCCTCCCTCGGAGCAAGGCCCAGGTGGGCTGGAGTCCGAGTTGGGAGCAGTTCCTGCGAGCCATCGCTCGAGGGAAAGGAAGCGCCGGCTATGACGGCTGGACAGCACGAGAGCTGAAGATGATGGCCGTGACGTTCGAGTTCCTAGTGCAGGATTTGTACGACCTCTGGCTGGACACGACGAAGTTCCTGGGCGCCAATGGCTTGTTCAAGACCGTCCCCGTGGAGGAGAGGCCCGAGGATGTGGTGAACTTGCAGAGGCTACTTTTTTCTTGGAGAGTTGTGGGTATTCCGAAGAAGTGCGGAGCATCCCGACCGATTGGGGTGGCGAGTGTACTATTGAGAAGCTGGTTGACAGCATGTGAAGAAGCTTTCCCGTCCCCGCAGGCTGCCCAGTACGCCTGCAAGACGGAGTCATCAGTGTGCCAAGCTGTGTGCAGTTGGTTGAAGGCGTGCATCACTGCCCAGGCGGGCATGGAGCGTGACCTCAGCAAGTGTTACGACCAGGTGCCCCACGAAGTGGGGATTGCTTCGCTTCATGCCGCTGGTGTACCGTCAGATCTGGTGGCGGTGTCTTTTGCTGCGTGGACGGGGCCGAGGAGATGCCAAGTGGCCGGCGCTCTGGCCAAGGAAGAAGTATGGCCCTCGCGAGGGCTGGCGCAGGGAGACTCCTGTGCGCCCAAAGTACTCTGCTCCGTCCTAGCCCCGTGGGAGGTCGAGGGTGAGCAGTTTTTGTTCATGGACGATCGTTCGCTGGTGTGTGCATCGGATCAACAGTTACGCAACGACATCGACACGACTGACCGCTTCGACCTGGAGACGGGGGCCGTGGAGAATAAAGGTAAGCGACAAGAGTGGCATCGTGGAGAGTTTCGCCGTATCGAGCATATTGGAGTCGAAGCGGTGCCAGATGATCCCACGGCCCCCGTCACCCCAGCGGGAGGTTGGAGGAAGGTTTATGCAGCTATCGCCGCTTTGCGACAGCTCCCAGGAAGCTCGAGGACCCGACTACGTGCTGCAGGTGCATATGTTGTACCGAGATGGCTCTGGTGCTGTCCTGTGTTCATGCTGCCACCTGCTGATGTGGCGGCGAAGCTTATGAGTTCAGTGTTACGTACGAGGTGTGTATGGTGGTGCCGAGGGCGTTTCTGGGCCCTGCATATTCAGTACCATCCTGTTTTCTCGAATGTCTTGACGGCGGCTCGTCGTCTTACTGATTGGGAGATCGATTTCAATCCCTGGGTCGAGCACAACCTGCAGAACTTCTTTGAGGCCGTAGGCTTGGAGTACGTGCAGTACGATGCCGAGAGAGGGATCAGATTTCAGATGTCGGAGGAGGAAGATGACCCGAGAGTGAAGCGTATCTTCCAGAACCGTCGTGGGTTTTGGACCTCTGAAGGAGAGCGAGCATTTCATGTTCTACGTGCTATATGTCGGCTCAAAGCTTTGACAAAGGCAACGGCAGCACGACGAGACTTCCCTGGTATGGAGGATGTTGATGTGGAGGCCCTCTCGGGCAAAGCGTGGAAGAAGTTTCGGGGCTCACTCGCACCTTGCGAGTGGCAAAAAGTGATGATATACATGTGTGGTGCGGCCAGCTCTCATACGCGAGGAGGAAATCATGATTTTACTTGTGATCCGTATTGCCCGTGCTGTGGTGAGGCCTTCTGGCCGTCTGTGCGTCACTGCGTGACGGAGTGTGCCGCCTTCGCGGATTTTAGGACGCAGTTGTCTGAGTTCTACACCGTGCCCTTGAGCTGGTGGACCTCTCAACCGAGAGTTACGTCAAGTTCGGGGTGGATTACGTACGGTGCACATCGAGTGGCAGAACGCAGGTCAGAACTGATGGTGATGCAAGTCCGAATGGGGATGTACTATGTGGCGACCGCCAAAGGTATGCGACGACCTGAGAGATCATACGCCAGGGGCCGACTCTTACCGTGAGATATTTTTTCTTGCTGAAGAGTTGTGCTATGAATGCAAATGTCGAACGGATCTTGATCTGATCTTGATATTATGTTTGCTGGGATTATGTTGCTGTGCTTGTATTTCCACATCCTGATCCTCGAGATATACTGATGTCTTGGAAAGTTGCAGTTACGATTATCTTGGTATCTTGACGTATATCCAGGTTCTAACCTACGATCGGTTGTTCCTGAAGTACACAAAACCCCCCCCAGAACCTTTCAAGGATCCGTGCGGATTTGTTGGGCCGCCGATGGCCACGCGTGGCGTTCCCCGCCTGCCAGGCGACTTTTCGAGTCGCTGCGTGGTACGAATCCTCATCATTTCTCCTCGTCAGCAGCGTCACGATCCGTTACCATCGCAATCATTACCAGCTCGCCTGTTACTGGTAAGATCGTGATCACAAGCAACAGCATCGTCATCACCATCATCAGCAGCATCACCACCTCCACCACCACAACCACCACCACCACCACCACCACCACCACCATCATCATCATCATCATCATCATCATCATCATCATCATCATCTTCATCTTCATCTTCATCTTCATCTTCATCTTCATCTTCATCTTCATCTTCGTCGTCATCGCCGCTGTCGTCATTATCATCATCAGCAGTATCATCATCAGCATCATGACATCATCACTACAATTTTTTTCCGTATCCTCATCGCCGTCATCATCATACTTCCCCTTCGCTCTTGAGCTTTTTCTGTTCCCCAGTCCTTCTTCTCCCTCTACCTCTAGGCCTAGATGATTTCGGCGTCGACAGCGACGACTTCCGCCGCTCGCCCCCCCCGGTGCTGGCAGGCTTGTGATTGGCAACTGGGAGAATCCCGACATGCTTAAGGCTGGCTCCCCGACGGCGCCTTGATTGGGGTGGAGGAGGAGAAGGGGCAGGTGATGGAGTAGGAGCAGGCAGTGCCGGATGGTGGTGGTGATGATGATGTTGACGATGCTGATGATGACGATGATGTTGATGATGAGGATGATGATGATGATGATGACGATGACGATGATGATGTTGATGATGAGGATGATGAGGATGAGGATGATGATGAGGATAAGGATGATGATGTTGACAGTGATGGTGATGGTGATGGTGATGCTGGTGACGACGATGATGATGATGCTGACGATGATGGTGATGATGATGGTGATGGCGATGGTGATAAGGTTTCTGATGCTGGTGCTGATGCGAGTGACGATGGTGACGATAACGATGATGATGATGATGCTGACGATGATGATGATGATGATGATGATGATGATGATGATGAGGGTGAGGATGATGATGATGATGCTGCTAATGACGGTGATAACGACATCAATTGGTTTGACGATGCTGCTGATGATGTTACTCTTGATGGTGATACCGTCGAATATGCTGCTGCTGCTGATGATGATGATGCTGACGATGCTGATGGTGATGACGCCGATGAAGTTCATGACTACGATGTATATGCTTGCGACGATTATCCAGTCTAAGTATGAAGGTGCTGCCGATGACGATGATGAGAATGATGATGTTGATGATGAGGATGATGATGATGATGATGATGATGATGATGTTGAGGGTGCTGATGACGACGGCAATGGTGATGACTAAGTTGCTACCAATAATGATGATGATGCTGATGATGATGATCATGCTGATGATGATGATAATGATGATGATGATGATGATGCTGATGATGATGATGATGCCGGTGACGATGGCATTGACGATGGTGCACATGCTCGTGATGATGATCGTGCTGCTGGTGGTCAGAATGAGGATGATGCTGTTATCCAGCAGGATGCTGTCGGCGACGATGATGGCGATGCTGATGATTTATGAGAATTCTGATGATGCTACTGCTGATGCCACTCATGGTCGCTGGTGCATATGTTGGTAATGATGGCGCTGATGATTTACCTGATGATGATAATTGGTGATGGTGATGGTGATGATGCTGCTGGTGCTGATGGTGATGGTGATGGTGATGTTGATGGCGCAGATGACGACCACGATGATGTTCGTGACGGTGAGTTTGACGATGCTAACTGTGATGATGGCAATTGTGATGAGGAAGACGATGGGAATGATGATGGTGATGACGATGATGATGATGCTGATGATGATGATGATGAGGATGTTGACGACGATGACAATGACGATGACGACTACGAAGATGATGATCGAACTGATGATGCTTATGATGCTGCTGATGTCGGTTATGATGATGGCGACGACGATGATGCTGATGATGATAATTTGATAATGCCGGCTATAATGACGATGAGGCTGTCGACGACGGTGATGGTGATGTTGATCATAATGGCGATGATGATGATAACGACGCTGGTACTGACGGCGACGATGACAATGCTGATGACGATGACGATGATGCCGATGCTGCTGATGTGTCCCATGAGAATAACGCCGATGATGACGACGGCGCTGATGATGATGCTGTTGATGATGATGGTGATGGTGGTGGTGGTGGTGGTAGTGGTGACGATGATGATGATGACGATGATGATGATGATGATGATGATGATGATGATGATGATGACAACGATGATGATAATGATGCTGCTGCTGATGATGCTGATGATGATGATGATGATGATGATGATGATGATGATGATGGTGGCGATGATGCTAGTGATGCTGCTGCTTATGATACTGATTATCCGGGGAGGAGGAGGAGGAGGAAGAGCGAGGAGCCAGGAGCGAGGTTCGAGGAGCGAGGATGCGGATGAGGGAGGAGGGGACGGGCGTGAGGCAGGAGGGAGGGGGATGATGGGGAAGAGGAGGCATCGGTGGCGAAGGCGGAGGCGAGGGAGGGGGAGAACACGAGGATGCGGAGGGCACAGCTTAGCACAGCAGGAGCAGCAGACGTGGAGGATGAGGAGGATGAGGAGGAGGGGGGGCAGGAGCATGTGGAGGCAGGGCGGAGAGGAGGGAGGAGAGGGGGGAGCTGGAGGGGAAGCAGCGGGGAATGAGAAAAAGGGCAGGAGGAGGTTGAAACGATAGACCAGGATGAGGGAGGGTGTAGGGCGGAGGGTTGGGGGGAGAGGCGGAACATGCAGGAAGAGGAGAAGGAACGCGCGCAGGAGGAGAGCGCGGCAGGAGGAGGGAGGAGGAGGAGGAGAGAGGAGGAGGGAGGAGGAGGAGGAGAGGAGGAGGAGGGAGGAGGAGGAGGAGGAGGAGGAGGAGGAGGAGGAGGAGGAGGAGGAGGGAGGAGGAGGAGGAGGAGGAGGAGGAGGAGGAGGAGGAGGAGGAGGAGGAGGAGGAGGAGGAGGAGGAGGAGGAGGAGGAGTGGACACTGTGATCGACCTATCTCTTGGCCTGTGCGCGGCAGGAGGAGGAGGAGGAGGAGGAGGAGGAGAAGGAGGATTAGGAGGAGGAGGAGGAGGAGGAGGAGGAGGAGGAGGGTTTGTAAGCGCTCGGGGCCATTCTTGGGCTTCTGGAGGCCTCTTGAAGCCTCCGTGCACCTCAGGAGTCCCCGGGGATTTCTGGAGACCTCGAGAGACCCCCTGTGACCTCCGGAGAGCCACTCTCGTCACGGAGGTGGAGGTGACTCCTCGACTGGGGGGGCTTCCCACTCGTGTCTGGAGGGGTGGGGGTTGGGATTGGTTGAGGTGGTCTCTCCCCCCACTACCTTCTGCCCCTTTCTCGCCCATCCCTCTCCCCCTCCCCAGTCGCCCTTCCACGTCCCATTCCCTCTCCCTCTCCCCCTCCTCCCCAGATCAGCAGAGGCAGGACCAGCGCAAGGGGGACGGGAAGGGCGATGGAAAGGTGGGAGAGTGGGGGAAGGAACGTGAGGATTGCCAAGAGAAGGAGGAGGAAGAGGACGACGAGGAGGCGGGGGAGGTGAATGACGATGAGGAGGACGAGGACCTGAGTGGCACGAAGGAGGAGGAGGAGGAGGAGCAGGGAGAGGAGGAGGAACGAGGAGCGGACGCGATGTGGGGCGGAGGAACAGGAGAGAGGGGGGGTATGATGGATTACGGGGCAGGAATATGGGGCGGAGGAAGCGGACGAGGGGCTGGGATTGCGGGGGAAGGAAAGGTCGACGGAAGGAGGAGTGACAGGAGAAAGGCAGATGAGGGAGTAGAAAGGGAGGGAGGTGGGGTATGAGGATGGGAGGAGGATGATGATGAGGGCTTGGTAGAATATGATACCGGTGTATGAGGAGCCTTTCCGTCCCTATCCTCTTTCCTCTTCCTCTTCCTCTTCCTCCTCCTCCTCATCTTCCTACTCCTTCTCCTCCTCTCTTCTGCATTTTTGCTCTTCTCTCGTCTCTTCACCCCGTCCGCATGAGGAGGGACTGAGTAAGGGGGAGGAAACAGAGCTGGTGGGGGAGAGCAAGGAAGTGGAGTGCTTGGAACATTGGGGGGAAACGATGAATATCATGAGGATGAGGATGAGGATGAGGATGATGATGCTGCTGTTGCTGCTGTTGCTGATGATCATGGTGATGCTGCTGCTGATGCTGATGATGCTAGTGATGATGCTGATGATGGTGATGGTGTTTCTGCTGCTGCTGCTGCGCTGATGCGGGTTATGATGTTGCTGATGATGCTTCTGCTGTTGATACTGATGCTGATGCTGCTGTTGCTAGTGCTGACTATGCTGACGGTGGTAATGATCATGTGGTTGATGATGACCATTATGATGATGCTGAGGCCGATGATGAGGAGAAGGATGACGATGACGGTGACTCTGGTGTTGATGATGCTGATGATGATGTTGATGATGTCGATGCTGATGCTCACGATCATGATGATGATGATGCTTCTGGTGATGATGATGTTTCTGCTGCTGCTGCTGCGCTGATGTTGATGATGCTGATGTGAAGGATGATGCTGTTGATTGCGATGACAATGATGATGGTGATGCTGCTGATGATGATGGTGAATATTACGATTAAGTTGAAGGTGATGCTGATGCTGATGCTGCTGCTGATGATGATGTGGACTATGATGAGGATGATTATGATGTTGATGATAATGATGTTCCTGGTGATGACGATGATGATGATGTCGACGATGACGATGCTGCTGATGATGATGCTGATGATGTTGTTGATGATGATGATGATGGTGTTATTGCGAGGATGATCAGGACGATGATGATGATGCTGATGATGATGCTGATGATGATGATGATGATGATGATGATGATGATGATGATGATGATGATGATGATGATGATGATGATGATGATGATGATGATGATGATGACGGGTTGGGACGGGAGCGGGAGGAGGTAGAGGATGAGGAAGCTTCCGTCGCGCCTCGCTCCTGCGACGACGAGCTCGATGCTGGAAACACACCGAGCCCAGCGACGACCCCGACGACGGCGACGACGACGGAGGACACGGCGGCGATGACGCCGCCCTTCGATTCTAGGACCTCGTGCTGGAGGGCTCTCTTGCCCCCATCTTCGCCAGAGTGACGCGTAGTGCGAGCACACTTGGGTCCCCAGACTGCTGAAGGGGGTGCGACAGCAGCGGCTCGCGCGCTCTGGCCTGGCGCCCCCGAGCCCCCGAAAGCCGCGCACCAGAGGCCATTCTTGCCCAGGGCCGCTCTTGGGGAAACCACGAGGTACCGACACCGCTGCTCCACGGACCTCTCCCAGGGTGCGTCCTGAGCATGACTTCGAGGCGAGTCCAGCGGTGGCGACGAGGGCCTCCCAGGAGGCCCAAGAAAGGCGAAGACGAGGGGAGGGTAGAGGTATGGGTGGGTACCCCTTCCTCCTCCGAACTCCTGCGTCTGGCCGAGCAGTGGCCTCACCGCAGTTTCTCGCCCCGGATCCGCTTCTGATCCGGGCGCTGGCGGGGGCGCATGGCCTCGGCGC